TGGAACGCACCTAGTCCGGGGTCCATTGTCTGCATGATCATTTCCAAAGTTGAACAGTGGACGTGGTACAGTCCCAAACGTTTCGCCGGCATCGTAGCCGGCATCGTCAGTGAGTTGTGTGGGGCTAAAAATAGCGAGACTCACTGACGATGCCGACTACGAGGCGGCGAAACGTTTGGGAATGCACCACGTCCACGGGTTCAACTTTGGAAATGATCATGCAGACAATGGACCCCAGACTAGGTGCGTTCCAATAAGTCTTCCTACAAATATGACCATGTTGCGAAAACAAGGTCAAACAACCTCAAGCCAAGCTTAAGTTAGTTAAAGAAGCTAATCCAAATCACTTTTAAAGCATCGATTAGTACACTATTTAGTTCATATAATAAATTAAAAAGATTCAAAGGATTCCATTCCCTCATCCATTTGACAGTAAATGAAATAAGTAAAATATTAGTGCTAAAATAAGAGAGATAGGATTATCATAAATTTTAGAGTATGTGAATTTTTAGAGAAATAAACAAGCATCTGGAATTATAAAAGGATAGAACCAACCAGAAAATATGACAATGAGTTCAGCCGAGATAGCATTTTCATGTTCTTAAATAGTCTGAACCTGTACCAATTGTTAATTTCAAAAGTAATATTATTTAAAGATATGAAGACCAAGATGTTGTGGCCTTTGGTATGGTCGCAGTCTCCTTTCGATTTATAGAAGTGAGTTGACCTCGTTGTCAAAACTTGGCCTTGTTGCCAGGGCGACTTAGTAGAACGCACCTGGTCCGAAGTCGTTTGCCATATTAGTTTTCATGATTCTTAGCATCAGAAAGTGGACTTGGTACATTCTCAAATGTTTCGCAGGCATCATAGTCGGCATCATCAGTGAGTTTTGCCATTCTCCGCGCCAAGCTAAGAACTCGTCAAAGAGACAAGTGAAGTCAATTCCTCGACAAACGTTCTGCCTAAAACGGTGACACTATCACTCCTATTTCTGTCCTGGCCTATCTATCTACTCTTTACCCTCTAATCCGACTGCCGCACTATCACAACTCCTGACTTGTTTATATTCCACTCGTCAAAATGTGTGCCCTTTTGTGGCAAATCTAGTCTGGCATCATCACACTTG